CCTGTTGGCCGGCATAACCCATCTGTTAGCATTAAAGCTATGGGAGCGTCTTTGGGTCTCCCCCTTCTCCCCCCACCCACCCTTCCAATTTCTCCTCAAAAATTGAAAGGGATTAGGTTAGGATTAGGTTAGTGTTTTAATCAGAAAGTCAAAAAAGATGGATTGACGAAATTTTCACCTGGATAAGACACCGCAGATCCTCGCTCCTTGTGGAAAAGGATTTGCCTCAACTCAGTAGGGTAGGGTTGCCATATTTCAAAAAGTAAAAACCAGGACACCCTGAAAGCTATTGAGTTTTTCAAGGAAGACCCCAAAGTTTTTAGACAAACCCCAGAGTTGTTGTTGAGTCAATTTTTCAATTCCATCAGGACATCAATTCCACCTTTGAAATATCGGTAATATCCAGGGAAATCAGGATGTACGGCAGCCCTACACTGTGGCTTTGGAGTAACTTCTCATCTCAAGGTAAAATGGTGAGTAAATGGTTATGCTTCACCATTACAGTGAGCGTTCTGTAGGCTAGAATTCCAAGGCAAATTATCCCACCATCAGTCAGAGCATAGTTAGGCAAAAACATGTAGTTTGCTACATATTTGAGGAAGAAACATATCTGCCATGAGGGAGCACAGGGGTGAGGAACCTAGGGCACTCTAGAGGTTCATTGAATCATAGCATTGTGGACTTGGGAGAGATCCTGAGGGTCATCTGGTCCAACCCCCAGCAATGCAGGAATCACAGCTGAAGAATCCCTGGCAGGTGGCCACCCAATGTCTGCTTAAAAACCTCCAGTGAAGGAGAGTCCATCAACTTCCAAGGGAGTCTGTTCCACTGTTGTGGAACTCCCATTAGCCCCAGCTAGTGGCCACAGATGATGAGAGTAGTAGTTAAAGAACACATGGAGACCCAAACCTTCCCCATCCCTGAGGCTTTGGCAACAGTGAGAAACTGAACCTTGAGTGTTATCGGTCCAGTCCTGTGGAACACCCTGCCACTGGAGATTCAGTGGGTGCCTTCTTTGCTAACTTTTCAATGCCTGCTGAAAACTTTCCTGCTCCACCAGTTCCTATGCAGGCAATTAAGAGTACACCTCCCCCTACTGATGTTTCTAAATCTTCTGCTTTAAACTAGTATTTAACTTATTATTTTACCGTATGGATCATAGAATTATAGAGTTGGAAGGGACGCAATGGTCATCTAGTCCAACCCCCTGCAATGCAGGACTCTCAACTAAAGCACCTATGACAGAAGGCCATCCAACCCCTGCTTTAAAATGTCCAGTGAAGGAGAGTCCCCAACCTTCTGAGACAGACCATTCCACTGTCCAACAGCTCTTACTGACAGAAAGTTATTCCTGATGTTTAGTCGGAATCTTCTCCCATGTCATTTGAACTCACTGGTTGGGGTCCTACCCTCTGGGGCAGAGAACAAGTTGCTCCATCCGTCTCAGCCCTTTAGATATGAGTGTGATCACGGTGGGATGTAATCCACTGGGAGCAGTCAAGTACAACATTCCTTGTAATGCTAGAGAAGACATGCGAGGGAACGTTTGGTCCAGCCAGTCAAAACTTCCTGTTCCTCCTGGGCTGGAGCATCCTTCCTTTTGCATGTGATAGGTGGGCGTGACCTAACCTGTCCAGGTAACAAAAGAAAGAGTCACGCAGCACACCTCTCTCTTTTTCACTTCCTTCTACATTTGACCAGCTTCGAGCTAGGACTGCCCTCTGAGCTTCTCAGCTAGCAGAGGCACTGGGATCATTCCTCCATATGGGGTAGATCCACATGTACATATTTGTAACTAAGGCTGCTTTCAGGGATCACACTGTGCTCTGCCTGATGTAAGTAAACCTCTTTTATTGATTGTAGTGTCTTTATTCTTTTAAGAGGCATTCAAGGGAACTTACAATTCAATCATAACAGACTGAATTGTATAATAGTGAGAGGCTTACACGAGCCTGCAACCAGCTATCTGCTGTGCATGTAAAAGGGGAATGTAAACTCTGCTAAGTAAAGGAACTTGCTAGCGCAGGTTAGGAAGGATATTAATAAACATTACATCCTCTCCTGCCACCCTGAACATTCCCATGATCACTGGATTCCACACTTTGGCAGATAGGTCTCCCCATCACTTGGGCCCCGTTTTAAGTGTAGATGTCGGAGACTGGAGCTTTATTTGGGATGTGCACCCTGCAGCAGAAAGTTGAGGAATGGAGGGGGCAGCAACAAGGGTGATCAAAGTGGAGCTGCCTTACCTGTATCCATTCCCCCAATGCACCTTGATTCCACACATGTTCTTTTGAATGCATAAATAGGACCTCCGTTTTGTGAATGTGACAATGTGCTGCAGGATGTATTCTCTACTAATTCCGTAAGCAAGAATCTCTCTTTCTCTGCTCATCATGGTAGCTACGATCTAAATCCCTTTTAATTCCATCCAGTGTTCCTTCATCTCTGAAGAAGAGGAAGGCAGCTGCTTGTATGGTTATTACAAAAGGAAGTAGTCAATAGGTAGAACACCTGGAGATTTATCACTTTGTTGTAATTATTAATTCCTTCAATAATCTGAATGCCATCACTTTCCCCCTCCTCCTCCAAAATTCATTAATTAAAAAGCTTATCCACCCTCTCAAGACTTCATACTTTAAAAAAACAAACAAAAAACCCCTGAGGCTTTGATCAGCAATCTCGTTCCTTTCAGGATATTATTCTACATTTAAAAGGAAGAAAACAAAAATGTTTTGTGATTTTTGTCTACTCAAACCTATGTCCTTAGAAGCGATTGACAGATTTCATGCCATGGTTCGCTTCCCTCACCCCACTCCTTTCTGTCCCAAATTTTTCTCCGGTAACTACTCTCCCTTCACCCCCTGAGTCCTTGGGGACACTGTTATGTTAAATTTCTGAAGGGGGCTTCGTGGAGCTGAGCCTTGTATACATGACTATCAATGGACCATTGATTTGTAGATGGCTTTAACCATCATATTTCTCCAGAACATGACTATATGGAAAACTCTGCTGAGAAGACACACACACAAACATACCGTAGCATACAAAATAGATCACAGCAGTTTACAACAGTATAAAATCATAAAACCATACTTTGGAGGGTAGGGTTCAAGTTACACAAGACCCTGACTAAACAACAGGAAGAACTTTCTGGTGGTAATAGTTGTTCAACAGTGGAATGGACTCCCATGAGAGTTGATGGGCTCTTCTTCCTTGGTGGCTTCTAAGCAGAGGTCGGATGCTTTAGTTGAGTTTCCTATATTGCAGGGGTTGAATGAGATGACCTTTAGGGCCGCTTCCATCTCTACAATTCTATGACTATCATTTCTGATTGCCAGAGGAAACAACCTCCCCTCTCAGCCCTCTGTGTCCTGTTCTGGGGGTTCCCCCAGCCCACCCAGAGCTGATTTTGTGATGCATGGGGAGAGGAAGGGTGGGGAGGAAGTCTCATTGTGCCAGGAGGCTTCACCAAGCTGCTCCCCACTAGCATAATCTGGCACTAGGCTTATGTACAGCCGCTGCCTGCCAGAGTAGACAGAATTGGCCTACATAGACCAATGGTGGTGGCTTCTCCCAGACAGCTTTGCAACTCCCTCCCCAGAGAAGCCAGACTGGCTTCCTCCTTGTTGTCCTTCCACCAGCAAGCAAAGACTGCTTTATTCCGAACAGGACTTTGGGAACTGACTATTTTTTATGTTTTGGGTTGTTGTTTTTTAATTTAAGGAAACAGCTTTTAAATGGAACTGTGTTGTTTTCACTATCAATTTTTTTTGGGTATTACTTTAATTCTATTAGAGTTTAATTACCTTTTAACGGTCATCTTTTATATGTTTTGAACATTTTGTATTCTTTCTGTGTTGTTTGTATGTGTGCAAACTGCCTTCAGTTCTGGTCTGGGGGGAAAGTGGTACAGTCATACCTCGGGTTAAATGTGCTTCAGGTTGAGCGTTTTCAGGTTACCCTCCGCGGCAACCTGGAAGTAATGGAGCGCATTACTTCCGGGTTTCACCACTCGCACATGTGCAGACGCTCAAAATGATGTCATGCGCATGCGCGGAAGCCGCAAATTGCGACCCGCACACGCGCAGACACGGGTTGCGTTCGCTTCAGGATGCGAACAGGGCTCCAGAACGGATCCCATTCTCATCCAGAGGTACCACTGTATATAAATAATAAGGTAAAGGTAAAGGGACCCCTGACCATTAGGTCCAGTCGTGACTGACTCTGGGGTTGCGGCACTCATCTCGCTTTATGGGCGGAGGGAGCCGGCGTACAGTTTCTGGGTCATGTGGCCAGCATGACTAAGCCGCTTCTGGCAAACCAGAGCAGCACACGGAAACACCGTTTAACTTCCCGCCAGAGTGGTACCTATTTATCTACTTGCACTTTGACGTGCTTTCGAACTGCTAGGTTGGCAGGAGCAGGGACCGAGCAACGGGAGCTCACCCCATCGCAGGGATTCGAACCGCCGACCTTCTGATCAGCAAGTCCTAGGTTCTGTGGTTTAACCCACAGCGCCACCCGCGTCCCTATATAAATAATACTAACATTTATATTAGTATTAGTATTTATTTAGTTTAAAAAAGATTAAAATTATTGATATAAACACATGCAAAATACATTAAAATGCACACCAAATGCATTAACTGACTCTTACTAATTCAATTTGTTAGTTTCCTTATCTCGCCTAAGGCAACTCAAAGTGACTTACAAACAAACTTCCTCTAATTTGATGAAAGCTGCCCGTCAGAGCAGATAAACTACTAGGGTAAATTAACGATGCGTTTGGACACAGTTAAATGTCGCTGCATCAGTTCCTATCACCTTGTAAGAGTTTTGTCGCCTCGTTTTCCCCACCCCTGCGAGAACCTTCATGGTAACATAGGGAGCTGCCTTACCCCAACTCAGACCACTGTTCCCACTAGGTCAGTAGAGCTTACACTGACTGGCAGCAGCTCCTCAGGATTTCAGGTAGCAAGTGCATCACAAGCCTTACCTGGAGATGGCAGGGATTGAACCTGAGACCATCTGCATGCAGGGCAGAACGCCTTCCCACTGAGCTACAAGCCCTTGTTTGTTTGTTTTAGTAATATGCACACCAAGAAGCCCAGATTGAGTCGGAGGGGGGTTAGGAGGTTGCAGAGAGTGAATAATCACATAATAAGGCTGAACATTGTAGTCCTGTCCCTGGGAGGAATATCCTCGCAGTGGTGCAATGGCCTGGAGGCTACAAGAATTGTGCCACCGTGTATAACAACAAAAACATTGAGCCCTGCATGTTTTCTAGAAACAGGAACCCAGAAATAAACTGAAACCGTGTATCTAGGAAGCAGTGAAGCAGACAGGGGGGTGATTTCTCCGTCTATGGAATGAGCAGGGGGGGAGGCATGACTATGTTCAATTAAGTCAGGAAATAAAAGGCCCAAAATGCTTCCATTAATGGGAACTGAGCCGAACACAAGCCCATATTTTCCATCCATTGTGTCCCATTCCAGACCACAATTTTCAGCCTTGAGAAATCGAGCAGCGGGGAACCAGATAAGGAGTTGCAGTATTGGTCCTGAAATTCAGACTTCCCTGTGAAGAAGGATGGAGGGTTAAACCACTCTGGGAATTGCAAGGGGGATAGGGGCCTCCTAACAACCCCCAGCACCCTTGACAAACTACATCTCCCATAATTCATTGGCTGTTCGAAGTGGTATCATAGGGCTTCAAACATATAGTGTTAAGGTGAGCCTAGTAGGCACTGATTGCATAGTTGTTCTCTGAGATGTGGAGGGGAGGGGAAAGGGGGAAAAAATGGGCCATTCCAGGATCCAATCAGAAACCGGGACATTTTCTGTAATTCTGGGACTGTCCCTGGAAAATAGGGTCACTTGGAGGGTATGTCATTGGTCACTAAGGCCAGGCAGGGCTGACCCAGCTCAGAAAGTTTTGGTGCTTGAGGCAAATCACACAAGGGCACCCTTTCTACTGTGGGATGTGAAACACAAGAGCAGTCAAGTACAACATTCCTAGAGTGAACATGTTTACACATGGGGAGGAATGTTTGTCCAGCCAGCAGGCAAACTTCCTGTTTCCTTCTGGGCTGGGACAGACTTCCTCTGCATGTAACTAGAGGTGGGCGTGGCCTCACCTGTGCAGGTAGCGACAAAAGCACAGGGCAGGGCAGCCATCTCTCTTTTTGACTACATGCATCGAAGAAGCAACATCTGCTTAGCCAAAGATGCTCTCTTGGCTTCTAGCCAAGAGAGGACAGAGGGACTGCCTCCTTATGAGATAGTTTCCAGGTGTATGTTACTTTTCTAAGATAAGTTTGCCTTCTGGGATCCTATTGTGAACAGAATGATGTGTGAGTAAACCTTTTTATACTTTTAGAGAAGACTGCGTAGTGTCTTATCTTTTATGGGGGAATAAGGGGGAAATAACAGAACAGTTATTATAGAGGCTTTAGAGAGCCTGAGCAAATGCATCCGTTGCAAGTATAAAAAGAGGAATGTTACTCTGCTAAATTGTGGAACTTGTTAACACAAGTTGGAAAAGGATATAATCAAACAATATATCCTCTCCTGCATCCCTGAACATTCCCACATCCACTGCCTGCCGTCACCCAAGCCATGCCACCTGCTGTCCCACAGGAACCTGAAGCCACCCCACAAAGCTGCCTCCCTCTCAGTGGAGAAGACCAGAGAGGAGGAAGTGGTGGTGGTACCAGTGGCAGCATCAGAGGTGGTGGTGGAGAGGAGGTGGAGGTGGAGGTGGAGGAGGAGGAGGAGAAGGAGGAGGAGGAGGAGGAGGAAGAGGATGAGAGCAGCACGACATGCTCCTTGGGTCCTGGATCTGCTACCCATCCCAACTGCTCCCCAACAGCCTCACCACGCCTCATGGGCTGGCTGGCCTTGAGGCCCGGCAAACACAGAGAAGGCTATGGCTTGCTCTTCCGAAGAGTAGAAGGAAGCCATCACAGCCTTGCCTTCTGTTGAAAGCTTTGAGCCCTGTTTTTCATTACTGTGAATCACAGGTAGAAGAACGTAGATGTTCTCGTAAGACTCAAAATGTTTCCGAAGTAGAACTGGGACCAGCTAGAGCTACACAAAACAAAAGTGACACTTGGAACCTTTGTGAACTCCTGTTTCTCTCTGTAAGAAAAGGGATCAGAATTGAATCTTGGATGCAGTCCCAGAAATCAATTGGCACACCCCACTCGTCCATTCCACCCAAAAAAAAGAAAAGAAAAAAAAGGATCTCATCATACTATGTATAGCGCCATACACAATGCAACTATATTAAAAGAATAAGGGCTTTTTTTAAGAAAAAAAGAACCTAAGTTCATAGAAGATATGGCTTAGGCAAATGGAGCTTCGACAGTCAGAGGCAGTCTACCTCTAAACACTCAACACTGGGGAAGGGATGTTGCCTTCTTGCCTTGCTTTTAAAGGACACAGGCATCTGGTCTGATCAAGCAAGGTTCTATTTTGCAGGGCAAAGATGAAATCCAAGAATTTGTTTTTATCTGTTTGGAGAACATCAGACATGGTGGCCAAATGCAGGCCACAGGCCTCTTTATCTGGACCTCAGGTCTCTCCTGGGGCCATACCTCCTCTTCAGCCCTTCTCCTACCCTGCTTCACAGCCCCACTTTGAGTGTTTATGACTGTGCTCTTGAACTCTGATAATGACTCTTTGCTTGTCTGGATAGAAGACGTGAAGGAACTGGTGTACCACAGAAATGGCAAAAAAAATATTGCATTTGTTTCTCTGGCAGCTTTTGCCTCTGTCTGTGACCATCATTTTCAGGTGGCCCCTGGAAGCTTGCCCCAAATGGAATGTGGCCCTCAGAGCTAGGAGACAGACAGACAGAGAGAGAGAGAGAGAGAGAGAGAGCGTTCCTCACCCCCTGGTATTAAGAGGGAGGAGTGGAAGGTTGTAGCAAAATGTAGAACAGCAAGGATGAAAGATGAAAATATAAGGCAGTGGGGGAGAAAGGCAAGGACAATCTCAGAGCAACCAGCATTAATGTCACTGTATAAAAGGTCTGTCAGCATTTCCATTACAAACTCCTATTTTCAAAGGTTTATAACTTGTCCATAAAAATTCCCTCCAAGAAGATGCTGAAAACTTGGCAAAGCCGCCCTCTCCTTCTCTCTCTCTCTCAATTGATTTTTGTCTTTTTCTTCAGTCCACCCCTCACTTCACCTCCTCACCCTCTGCTTTTTATTTTATTATTTTTGCCTGCAGTAAAAAAAATAAAATAAATTAAAATAATCCACTTATTTTTGCAGTTACTGCAAAGGGACATGGCAGGGTCAGCACAAAGGATGGGTGGATCAGCCTATTTCGGTTCCAAGTAAATATGTGCACGTGCTTAATCATAAATATGTTCCCTCCTGAGCTGTTGTGGATATTTTCTTTCTAACCACATTCACATTTGTATTTAAATTGAAGACAACTGATGTCATTTTGTATGCATTCTTCCCCTAACGGTACACATTTTTCAATGCTTATGTGTTTTTCCCGAAAATATGCATTTATGTATATTTTCCCAAAAAATACTTTTCTTTCTTTTTCTGGTGGGCATTTCTCTGAAATGAAATGGCACAGCGAAAAGGCGGGGAAGTGTATATTCTGACTGATACTTGTAATCTTAACTGCGGATTAATCTGGGACCAGCGAAATCAGGTCTGTTTGCTGAAAAGTAGGAAGCCAAATGACTTTGGAGTCTCTAGAACGTAAATGGCAGACTACGACAGAGGGATGAAGATATCACATCTCTAGCAATGCACACATGCCAAAGAACAGGGGTAGGCAACCTAAGGCCCGGGGGCTGGATCCAGCCCAATTGCCTTCTCAATCCAGCCCGTGTATGGTCTGGGAAGCAGTGTGTTTTTACATGAGTAGAATGTGTCCTTTTATTTAAAATGCACCCCTGGGTTATTTGCGGGGCATAGGAATTCATTCATTTTTTTTCCTTCTTCATAATATAGTCCGGCCCACCACATGGTCTGAGGGACAGTGGACCGGCCCACAGCTGAAAAAGGTTGCTGACCCCTGCCAAAGAACATGTACAGAAAGCCATCTGATTCTGTGTTCGAACATTTAGCTCAGTATCATTTACACTCACTGGTAGAAGCTCTCCAGTATTTTAGAGAAAAAGACATTCCTGTCTCCCAGGACAAGAACCCTGTGAGGTAGTCATTAAGAGTCGTCAACAGGTTTACCATACCCACTGAGTCCGTTAAGTTGTGGGTGAACATATCAGATGACACAGCAATTCTTCAAGCAGCTCTTGTTTATTCAGAGGCCAGAACAGAACTGAACTGAAGGGCTCAGTCAGCCTGCTTATATAGAGCTCCAGTACACATAACTGCAACAACTTTCTAAAACTATCCAATCACTGAATGTCACTTTCGATCCCTTATTTGCATAACTATCTATAGTATCCCCCTGCTGGCCCAGGGTGAGAACTTCAGTACATAACAGAGTCAATCACCCATCTCCTACTACCCTCCTGAGAAAACCCCCACCCCATTTCATAGAATCATAGAATCATAGAGTTGGAAGAGACCACAAGGGCCATCGAGTCCAACCCCCTGCCAAGCAGGAAACACCATCAGAGCACTCCTGACATATGGTTGTCAAGCCTCTGCTTAAAGACCTCCAAAGAAGGAGACTCCACCACACTCCTTGGCAGCAAATTCCACTGTCGAACAGCTCTTACTGTCAGGAAGTTCTTCCTAATGTTTAGGTGGAATCTTCTTTCTTGTAGTTTGGATCCATTGCTCCGTGTCCACTTCTCTGGAGCAGCAGAAAACAACCTTTCTCCCTCCTCTATGTGACATCCTTTTATATATTTGAACATGGCTATCATATCACTATTTGCTATGCCTGTCGTGGGGTCGTCTGCTTTGGGGGCAGGGGCCTGGTAGGAATTTTGTCCATTTGGCTGATTGGCTGGTGCCATTTGGTTTTTGCCTACTGTGTAGCAAATCGTCACAACTTGTAAGGTTGTGGTTAGGCATTGGTTAAAAGATCGGTTGGTGGAGGGGTAAGAGTTGGCTGTGCCTGCCCCTC